CCCTTCGATCCACTATTTACTCACCGTTCGCTTATGCATTCTTGTTTTTCGATTCAAATGCAAAAATCGATCGCAATCGCCACACAGTGAACCACAAGTTTCGCACTGAATTATGGCAGCAGTTTCACCATCGTCGTGATTGGTGCACATTGGACGCGTATCGGAAACCTTGGACCACTGACCGGACGATAGTTTCTCTACATGATCGCGATCGAGCACACAAAGGCTGGCCAGCGCTAGCCACAGTGTGGCGGTCTTCACACAATGTTCAGGATTGCGGAAAATCTCATCCAAACGAGTCAAATTTAATACCGACTCAGCTATGGCTGCCTTGGTGATCTGAGACCATTTATCGCTTAATTTGCCCTGTTGAATACAAATAAAGTTTATATAAAATTTATTTTTAATTCAATTTTCAATACTCACACTGGCCAAATCGCGCACCAGACTGATGATGCTTTCCGCCTGCTTGGTTGAGATGACACCATTCAAGAACCAACGCTGATTAAGATTTTTCTTCGTTTCTTTCTTATTCGCCTTCAATGTTGAACGCCCCAGCTCGTATTCGCTCGCTTCCACTTGTTGATCGAATCGAAATGGATGTGTTTTGCCTGCAAATTCGCCGGCATCCCCATCTCCGCCGCCCAGCTCGCCATCAGCATTTACCTTTGTCTTCTGCGTTTGCTTCAGTAGATGTACCGACAAATCAAGTGCATTGCAGAGACGTACAAATGAAGGTGTTTTCTCGAGACTCGGTTTGCTTGAAGTACACTTCACCTTAACTTGCAACTGCAGCGCCTTGGCGATGACTGCCAAAAATATATCCAGCAAACCCAAGCGATTCATATCGAAATCAGCAGCATTCTGGTGTGCAATATTATAATCTGCCGGCGGCAAGCGCTGTACGCCCATCAACTCGGCAAAGCTCTCCGGTGAAATTTCGGGCAGTATGCGTCGCAGTAGTGCCGCTACCTGACGCTGTACGCGATCACTGCCTGTATGTAGCAGCGTCAACAAATCCTTGAGTAGCCCATACTGATGTGACAGATAGGAACGGCCCACAACGCTGCCGGATAGCGCCAGCACCATGCTTAGCATCTCGAAACAGTAAGTGTCGGGCGCACGATAGCGCTCCGAACTAGACTCACTCTTCGGTTCACCCGTCGAGGTGGCAGATGTTGTGGTGGCGTGCGCATCCTTGAAACAATTCGCCAAATTTACAATTTCCCAATCTTCTTTGGCGCGATGCGCTTCCTTCTTGATCGCGTGCACAATATGCACAATAACCTGTTTCTGCAGATGCGAGAGCTTACTACGCGAAAATAGTATACCCACCATGTGTTCGCGTAGGTCCAGCGAGTCGGCAAGCATTGAATTGCCGCTAGAATCCATGCCGAGTATAGAGTGGTG